TACATTTCCGACGCGTGCTTGTGGTGTTCGGTCAATCACAATGCATTGAGTCAGCTGGCCAATCAGAGCAGACTGTGCTTGTCAAAGGAAGGGACACGAGTAGAGCAGCTGATGATATACTGAACATGCGTGCAGCGTGCCGGTTAGAGCGGTTCTCGTTCTCGAGTCAAGAACCGGTTGCCTCGGTTTTCGGATCATTAGTACACTGAACCGAGAACCGTTTCTTTCGGACACGTCCGATTTGAGAACCGATGAGCTGATGATACTGCGCACAATTCTGCGTGAAGCTACCGAACAGATTGCCTGCTATGACTGACACAGCACAGTCTTTTGGACAACTGATTCTGTGCTAATGTTATGAGCGCGGGTAAACCGAAGACTTGAATGAAGGGCAATCTGGCTAAACGTAAGTTTATTTAATAACAAATAAATTGCAATTGATTATGTATAGTAAGTGGACCACTCACAACTGCTGCTTCTGTCACATTTTCTCTTGACAAGAAGTGCATTTATTCAGTCGCAGAATGACTGAGAATGGGAGATGTTGCAGACGCGCGCTCCACTTCACTTCAGCGCCAGGCGCGAGTCAAACGAGCGTGGAAACGGTACTGTGCTCGCAAAGGTTGCTCTTCAGTTGCACGCACAAAGGCGCCGCGCGCGCTGTAGCCTGCATCCTTTCATATCAAAGCACGAAATAAGCTACGTGCATGCACTGTCGTGGTCAGATAAGTCATGAAGTTGCCAGAAAGGCCTTAAAACTGTGCATGCATGTAATATATTTTATGTGAGTCACATTTAAGAACGTCTCTGAAATGGTTTTCAAAACTGTCCTGGAGCAGCCCAGCACTGTCTCCCTCATCTAACACACCCGATTTAACTAGTCAGTTCATTAATAGAGACTTTAAGACCTGAAGTGGGTCAGTGAGTTGAGAAAAAATATGATGCGTGTCAGATCCGTGTCACGTTCTGCAGCGGCAGCTCTTAAAGAAATAACAGCCAAAATAACATAATAGCCAGCTGCTGTGATGTCTGCAAATCAAAGGACAAAGAAAAAAAAGAGGAAAAAATAACTTTTATAACTTTAAGGATTCATCTATATTTAATTTAGAATTTAGTGTTTGATAACTTCAATTTCAATTTCTGTATATTTCTGCTAAGGGCACAGGTAAATATGACATTTATTATAATAGGTTTATGTGAAGATTGTTTTAAGTTCACATAAATTAGAAGTTATTTTTTAAAGTCTAATGTTAAAATTGATAGCTCTAAATTTCACTGTAATGTTGAATGGCTGTAGTCAATGGTTAAATATTGGGGGGGGCAATTTAATAGAGAAATCAGTATTGGTATCATTGATACTGGCCTTCAGTCATAAAAAAAAGATGCCATTAAACAAATATTTTAAAATATACTGTCTTTATGTTGTTTGTACATTAATTTGAAGATTGAATGTGAAATTATTGCAATATAAAAGTATATTTAAAAACTTTAATGTTAGGTGGGATTAATCGTGATTAATTTCAGAAAAATGTGCGAAAAATGTGTTTTTTTTTAATCGATTGACAGCACTAATATATATATATATATATATATGTATATACAGTGCCTTGCGAAAGGAAAGTATTCATACCCCTTCATTTTTTTCACGTTTTGTTGTTGCTGCCTTATGTTAAACTGCTTTAAATTACTTTTTTTCCCACATCAATCCAGAATCCATACACCATACTAACAAAGCAAAAACAGAATTGTCACAACTTTGTAAATTTATAAAAAAAAAAAAAAAACTGAAATAAGTACATTGCATAAGTATCCATACCCTTAATTAAATATTTAGCTGAAGCACCTTTACAGTCTCAAGTCTTTTTTGTTTGATGCGACAAGCTTTGCTCATCAGCATTTGGCAATTATCTGCCATTCTTCTCCTCGCCTCTTCACCTCTGTCAGGTTGGATGGGGGCAGACGCACATTTTCAGGTTTCTCTAGAAATATTTAATTGGGTTCAAGCTCAGACTGTGGCTGGGCCACTCAAGGACATTCACAGAGTTGTCTATAAGCCACTCTTGCTGTGTGCTTTAGGGTCATTATCCTTTTGGAAGGTGAACCTTCTGCCCAGTCTGAGGTTCTGAATGCTCTGGACTGGGTTTCCATTAAGGCTATCTCAATATTTTGGTGCATTGAGCTTTTCTTCTACTCTGATGTGTCCCTCAGTCCCTGCCACTGAAAAACACCCCACGGCATGAGGCTGCTACCACCACACTTTAATTTTGGATGGTACTCTGAAGGAAACCAGCTCTGCTCATCACCTGAAAACATGATGCTTAGAATTTAGGTTAATCAGACCAGATAATCTTGTTTCTCAGAGTCTGAGGGTCCTTTAGGTGCTTTTTTGCAAATTCCAAGTGTGTTTTCATGTGCATGTCTTCACTTAGGAAAGGATTGAGTTTGATCACACTGGCATAAACCCCAGATTGGTGAAGTGTTGAAGTGATGTTTGTCCTTCTGTAGATGTCTCCTATCTCCAAATATGATCATGGAGCTCAACTAGAGTGACCATCAGGTTCTTGGTCACCACTTTCACCAAAGCCCTTTTCCATCAATTGCTCAGTTTGGCCAGGAGGCCAGCTCTAGGAAGAGTCCTGGTTGTTTTAAACTTCTTCCATTAAGGGTAACAGAGACTACATGCTTCTGTGACCCTTCAATGAAGCAGAATTTTTTTTCCTGAACTCTTCCCCAGATGTGTGGCTTGACGCAAACCTGTTTCTGAGCTTTATAGGCAGTTATTTTTACCTCAGGGCTTAATTTTTGCTCTGATATGCATTATCAGCTGTTAGACCTATTATTAAGATGTGTGTGCCTTTCCAAATCATACCCATTAAATTGAATTTACCACAGGTTAACTTCACTCGAAGTGTAGTAACATCTACAAACAATATGAAGCTAGATTTCAACTGTCCCAGATAAGAGTATGAACACCTATGCATTGGAATCATTTAAGTTTTTTATTTTTAATAAATTTGCAAAGATATTAAAAACCTGTTTTTGCTTTACCATTATGGAGTATGGCGTGTAGATTGATTTGGGAAAAAAGTAATTTAAAGCAGTTTAACATAAGGCAGCAACAGCAAAATGTGAAAAAAATGAAGGGGTATGAATGCTTTCGCAAGGCACTGTATATATATATATATATATAGAGAGAGAGAGAGTTGTGCTCAAAATTATTCATACCCTTGGTTAATATGATCAAAGTATATATATATATATATATATATATATACACACACACACACACATATATATATTTACGCACATATACATACATTATATATATTATATAATACAGATGCTCCTAGTATTAATGTTTTACAGCAGTACACTGAAGGTGAGTTTAAGAACCCAAGTGCTGCTTTATTCCAAAAGTAAACCAAAATACTAACATAATCCAAACAGAGACTTGACTTGGCATGAACAGACTTGACTTAAACAGACTTGACTCACTGGCCCTAGCTCTGCATATGCAGGAGCTTGGGTACTATAGGACCCCCCCAAAAAAATGTTTCTAAATCCTTAGACGAAACTTGCATGGTATCTGTGGCACGACGAGACTCTGGCGTGGTGACTGGAGTTACGAGGTTCTGGCATGGCAGCCATGACGTGGTGAGAGTGAGTCTCTTGAGTGGCCGGCATGACGTAAGCAGACTTTGGCTTGGCAGGCGTGACGTGACGTGAGCAGACTCTGGCTTGGCAGGCGTGACGTGAACAGGCTCTGGCGTAGCAGACTTGACTTTAGCAGGCCCTGGAGTAGCAGACGTGACCTGAGCAGGCGCTGGCTTGGCAGGCATAACGTGAACAACTCCTGACATAACGATCGGGACGTGAAAATGCTCTGGTGCAGAGGGTACAGCACAGTTGCGGGGCTCCTCATCCTAAAAGGCTTTTAGGTTTTTTTCCTTGCCTTTTTGCCACCACATTTTGACGCTGCTTTTTAGCGCTCTTTGAGCGTGCTCTGGCTTACACGCCAACTGCTCCTCTAAAACCATGAGGAGAAACGCCATCTAGTCTAGTCACTCTTCTTGCTGACTTCTACTTTAGTTTATTTTCTTTCTGTTGAGAGTTTCGTGTTCTGAGTTAAGTTTTGCCGCAACGCCGTGTCTCCGAGTTCACCTCGAGTCTGTGACCGATTCAAAAGTTCAACCAGCCCTCAACTCCGCACCTTCAGCCAACGCCCAACCATTGGCTTCCCAAGACATCACTTCAACGACTACTGAACTTAATTCCTGAGAATGAGAGCTTTCTTGTGATATATGACTTGACTTTTTTGTGAAAAATATATAAAATACACATTCTTCGTAAAAATTATTCGCAATGGTTAGGCGGAAATTCGTGTGTGGGACGAATACATTCTAAGCTTAATTTTACTGCTTTATGAATATAAAAACCATAAGGAATGGTATTCTTTGTAAAGAAGACACTCCAAGCTTTCAAATGAACCCATATATGGGCTGATACCATATAAGGAAGGCTATATAAATGAAGCATAAACATTTTTAACGCGATTTTGGACCCGTATCCGGGTCCGCAGAGTTTAACTGTTAATACAAATTTTAACCTCATTGAGGAACCCTATGCGAGGGTTAATTAAGTGATTGATGGTTGTTCAGGTCTATGCAATTGCACATATTGCTGTAAACTTGGGATTTCACATTTTCATTCTCTTAAACTCATTCTTTCCTCACTTTCTCTCTTACTGAAACTTGTATGAATGTGTGAGTGCGTGTGTTTATGTTATATTAGTTCATATTGTCTTAGATTTATCCAATAAAGTCTTATTCATATTGAAAAGAGAAGTATCTTGTGTTTTGCGCTTATAAGTGAATGTCTTAAACTGCCGATCTTGTTACTGTGCTAATAAATAGTGTTTTCACTATACTTTGGATATTAATATCCATTTCAGAACTGATGTTGTACGGCTCGTTCAATAAATCGCTGGCCGACTCAGTGATCAGCCGTAAAACAGTGATTCTGTCCAAATTCCCTATAACATCTTAAATGATTCCCTTTGAGCTAAATTGACCTGTTTCCCTTACACATGCAAAGGCAGAAGCTGCACAGACTAGAGCCACATATGCACAAAAAGAGATAGACGTGAGAGTGAAACAAGCTTAAATACAAGCTCAGCTTAAAGTGGAGGAGACTCGTCTGGAGGCTACACTGAATGCACTGCACTAAGAAACAGAGGCAGCGGCTGCTATTTGAGGCGGCGGCAGAGACTGGGGGAATGGAACAGCTATCTGAGGGCCAAGAGCTTCATTCTTCACATGGCTCGCTACAAAGAACTGAGAAATATGTAGAAGATCAGCCCAAATATAAAGAAGACACTTACACATGCTTGCAGTGACCATTGAACACAAGCCATTGGCTCCATACTCAGTTAATCTGCTACAGCCTCAAACCACCATGCAGGATAGTCCTTTTCAGGACTTGCCAGTGAGACAGTCACCAACTCAAATCCTCACAAATGCTGCTACAACCCTTAGCTCTACACCGCTTAGCCATACCATGCACACTCAATCTGAATCCATCAAACAAGCAGGTGGAAACACATCACAGTTTAATTCAGCATTGCCTGATGCATTTCCTCCTAGACACAACATTACATTCACAAGCCACTCACCCTCGCTTCGCAATGAGTTCCATACTGCTCAATCAGATGTGTTTGAGCTTGCAAATTTCCTGGCCCGCCGTGATCTTCTGACAGGCGGACTTTCAAGATTAAATGATAAGCCTGAGAACTACTGGGCATGGAAGTCCAGGTTTTGCAATGCTATTGAAGAACTTGATCTTAAGCCTAGTGAAGAACTAGACCTACTTGCTCAGTGGCTTGTCCCAGAATCGACTGAACATGCAAGACACATTAGATCAGTTCACATCAATTATCCAGATGTTGGCCTCAGCATGGTCTGGAAATGGATAGAGGAATGCTATGGTTCTGCCTAAGCTGTGGAGGCAGCTCTCTTTAACAAACGTGAACATTTCCCTAAGCTGTCGAACAAAGACCCTCAATGTCTCAGAGAGCTAGGAGACCTACTTCTTGAGATGCAGACAGCCAAAGCTGAAGGTTATCTGCCTGGCTTGACCTTCCTAGATACTTCACGAGGCATCAGCTCCATTCTATAGAAACTCCCATACAGTTTACAAGAGAGATGGATGTTGCAGGGTACTCGTTACAAACAAGAGTATGGTGTCAGCTCCCCCCCCTTTCATTCTTTTGTGATTTAATTTGTTGTGATGCCCACATGAGAAATGTTCACAGCTTTAATCTGAGTATGCATAATGTGACATCACCCAGATGTGAGAGATTTTCAAAGGCAGTCAGAGCTCCTGTTTCCGTTCACAAAACAGAAATTGTCAATGCCATTCAAAAGGATGAATCTAACAAGGCAAGTGACAACCTCAACAGACAATGTCCAATCCATAAAAAGCCACATCCCCTCAGGAAGTGTAGAGGTTTCAGGGAAAAGGCCTTTCAGGAAAGGAAAGCTTACCTCAGAGAGAACTCCATATGATTCAGATGCTGCTCCTCAACTACTCACCAGGCAAAGGACTGTAAGGCAGTAATCCAGTGCTATGAATGCAATAGTGACAAGCATCCGAGACTTGTCATTTGCACTTATATATTGTTGCTCTTTTGTTAGTTTTGACTGCTTTTATTGTCCTCATTTGTAAGTCGCTTTGGATAAAAGCGTCTGCTAAATGACTAAATAAAATAAAAATAAATAAAATATAGCTACCCTACACAATGGTCCAGCCCCCTGGTTAAAAAAGGAGGATACCGAACCCTCAACAAACTATGGCGGGGAGCAAAAAGAGCTTCCTTCCCCGGTTTCCACACCCACCGGCACAGAAGTGTGTGGGGATCATAATAGCAGAAAGTCCTGTTCAAAGATCTGCCTGGTAAACGTATACCCAAAAGGTGAGAACAAACAAAGGGTTTATGCAGTCATAGATGATCAGAGCAATAGGTCTCTGGCAAGATCGGCCTTCTTCAAGATGTTTAAGGTTGCAGACAACATGGCACCTTACATGCTCAGAACATGCGCGCGTTCGCGAGCATATCACACAGACTGAAGGGCATAGAGCTGACGGATTTATAGTAGAATCCTTTGATGGGAAGACATGCCTTGCTCTTCCATCACTAATTGAATGCAATCTCATTCCAAACAACAGAACAGAGATTCCTACTCCAGAGGCAGCACAATACCACAGACACTTAAGATCGGTATCCTCTAAAATTCCAAGTCTAGATCCAAAGGCCAAAATTCTGCTTCTGCTCGGAAGATATCTCATTCAGGCACACAAGGTGGTGGAGCAATGCAATGGACCACAACATGCTCCTTTTGCACAGAGGCTGGCCCTTGGGTGGGTGATAGTTGGAGATGTCTGCCTTAACAGAGCCCACAAACCTTCAACAGTTGATGTTTTCAAGACTCACATTTTAGGAAATGGGCGCCCCAGCTAGATGTGTCCATGTCCAAACAATATGTATGTCAAGGACTATTTCAGTCTCCATGATGAGCCAAAAAATTCCTTCACGCTGAGCCCTAAACATATAAGTTTGCCGGTACATAATGAATGTCTCATAGGCAAATCAGTTTTCTGCTACACAAGGAATGACGACAAACCAGCTCCCTCCATGGATGACCTGGCCTTCCTGAGGATTATGGAAAGATAATTCCATCAGGATGAGTCAAATAGCTGAGTTGCTCCACTTCCATTTCGTAGCCCTCGGCAGCGCCTCCCGAATAACAAGGTTCAAGCCAACAACCGGCTCATGTTACTGACTCGCAAACTAAAAAAACACCCCGAACTTTGTGGATTTTATGAGTAAGGTCTTTGAGAATGAGCATGCAGAGTTTGCACCACAATTACAGAAGAATGAAGAGTGCTGGTATCTGCCAATGTTTGGGGTGTACCATCCAAGGAAACAGATAAGAGTAGTATTCGACTCTAGTGCTCGACATCAGGATGTATCATTAACTGATGTTCTCCTCACCGGCCCTAGTGTAAACAATAGCCTTTTAGGGGTTCTACTGTGATTCAAGAGGGAATGTGTGGCAGTGATGGCTGATATCCA